TTCTCAACTCAGAGAGTCTTTCAGGTCCTGCCTACATTCTCACTTTTCATGGTGCTTTCTAGAAACTATGTCAAGGTGGTAAGATGGGGCTGCGTCAGAGCTCATTTCATTTGTTTTCTTCTCTCAGAGATCCTTGTGTGGGGTTGCCCAATATTCAGTGTCTTGAAAATAGTTGTCTCATACATCTTGTCTGTTTTCTCTTTTGTGTTGTTTCGGGTGGGAGAGTAAATCTTGTGCCTGTTGCTCCATCTTGGCCAGAAGTGGAAGTTGAATGTGTTGATCTTTAAAGCTCCTTTCAGGTCAAGAATTATGCTACTTCCTAAAATACACCTCATAGAGGATGATTGTAATGATGTTTGTCAAGTGGCTTGAGAGCAATGCTACCTAGGCTTTGGATCCTGACCAGAATCTAGAGGTTTAGCCTAACTGGAAAATGGCACATGTACTGATTTGCTTTTCATTGATGGCGGGTCAGTCAGCATTTAGATATTTTTAATCATAGTAACACATTAATATGTTTTAAGATGCTTGATATCAATATTAAATATCAAAGAAAAGCATCTGAAATACAAATAGTCACAAGGCTTTATATTTTATCTAGCACACAAGAGGCCCTCAATAAATACCTTTGTAATGAATAATTATGTAGAAAGCTTTGATTCCCTGCAGTCTCTACAGATAATTCCACATATCTTATCAATAACTTTCAAGCATCCCAGGTATTAGAAAAATTAGGATTCACAGGGACCTAATAAGAGACTCAGATGATAACTTTTTTTTTTTTTGAGACAGAGTTTCACTCTGTTGCACAGTCTGAAATGCAGTGGTGTGATCTCAGCTCACTGCAACCTCTGCTTCCTGGATTCAAGCAATTCTCATGCCTTAGCTTCCCAAATAGCTGGAATCACACGTGTACACCACCACACTCAGCTAATTTTTGTATTTTTAGTAGAGATGGAGTTTTACCACATTGGCCAGCTGATCTCAAACTCCTGACCTCAAGTGATGCACCTACCTTGGCCTCCCGAAGTGCTAGGATTACAGGCGTGAGCCACCGCGCCTGGCCTTGGGTGATAACTTTTATAAGTTTATTATAATTTATCAAAGTCCTGCAAAGTGAGAAAGTATCCAATATTTAAAGTCCATATCATTTTACTAATTTCTCCTCTAAGCACCAAATTCAAAAATACTAATCAATTTCAAAATTTATTGTATGCACCCATATTGTTAAATAAATCTTTATTGAGCTATTAAATTGCTCTATTTTGAAAGTGGGTTTCACCAGGTTTGATTTTTACAGTTGTAATAAATTCAGAGTGAAGGTGAAAAAGTTACCTAGTGGCAGTTTACATTCCACTAAAATATCCTTATGAATCATGTCTACAAATCAGTATTTTTATGTTATTTCTAATCGATGTTGGCTCATGTAAGATGCCACTTTCAGAAAGAGTTTCAGGCAGAAAATAATACTGGATAAACATTAGTTCTGTCAAGAAATTAAAATTCCTTCTAACATGTTGTTTCTTTTATTTACAAAACCAAAGATGGCAATGAAATATTGAATCTACAGACCATTTGTACTTTTACTCCATATTTTTCAGCATAATGCTTGGTTGTGGGCTCATAATGTACTCTCTGATTGTTTATTTCTAATTAGATATAATTCCAGTTGATCATTACCAATTTTCTTTTTTTCTTTATTTTCTTTTTCTTCATTATGACAGAGTCCCACTCTGTTGCCCAGGCTAGAGCGCAGTGGCACAGTCTCAGCTTACTGCAGCCTCAACATCCCAGGATCAAGTAATCCTCCTATATCAGTCTCCTGATAGCTGGGAGGTACTCATCACCATCCCTGGCCAATTTTTTATATTTTTTGTAGAGATGGGGTTTCACCACTGTGCCCAGGCTGGTTTCAAATTCTTTGGCTCAAGCAGTCTGCCCGCCTTAGCCTCCCAAAATTCTGGGATTCCAGGCGTGAGCCACTGTGCCTGACCTATTTCCAATTTTTAAAACATGGAGGTCTTTGAATAGACGCCTCCTTATTTCATCAAACGAAAGAAAATTTTATAAAGATCCTTTCTGACTAGCAACAATACTACACTTCCTGTGCTTCTTCAGAACATTTAAAAAAATCACTGTCTCTGTCCTTCTTTTGCTTATAAAAGCAGCCCACATTTTTAGACACAAAATTAGGCACAATAATTTAAAAGCTCTTCAGTTCGGCATGCCTTTATTGAACTCCTACTATATGCCAGGCACTGTGCTAGGCAGTGATGATAAAAAGATGAATAAGGCAGCTTATTTACAGTTAAGGGTTTTTTTATCTACATGAGCAGCATTCAGCCGCAGGTTCTCAATACACTAGTGTCTTATAGAGTCGTGAGGTGTACTGCAAATGATAATGCCATTATTAGTGAAGACAGTATTTGGAGTATTTGCATTTTGTGAAATGATTCAGAATAGCTACTGCAATAATAACTTCACTTTTACTCACTTGCTTTCTAGTATGTTTATGGTACAACGTTAACTGAAAAAAGTACAATAAAAAGGATGCATAGCACAACCTAAGCTTGTTTTTAAAAACTGTATGAATGAATAAGAAATTAACATAAAAAAGTAACTAAGATAATATTTAAATTATTCAGTACACATATGTTATGAGTGGTTCTCCTTCTGTGGTAGATTTTCATAATGTCATTGAATGTAATTCATGACAACAAAAGAAGAGGTGTAGGTGACTAACTGTCAGATAGACTCCAAAAATTGTTGCCATGGGAAGTCAGAAGAGGAAAGAATTCATTCAAGCTGGAATGGTCACAGAGGACCTTATTGAAGGAATGTCTCTCAAGGATGGTTGACTAATGCAGAGAAATGGGACTGTGTTTAACTATAATCCATCGAAGGTAAGAAAGACCTAAATCAGCTTTGACTTCACCATACCCCCATACATTGACTCTCACTAAACTCAATATTCCAGTTGTAATCAGATCTGGACTAGGAAGCTATCTATTTCTCTATGTTATATTTTAATATATGCAGCTTGAGATCAAAGTATTTTTTTTTGGCAGTTTAATTATGATAGTGACTCACACCGAGCTTACATTCAGCTCAACTCTCAAATCTGTCCCTCTTATGATGTTGAGCAACACTTCTCCCACACTGTACCAAGGTAGTTGTTTTGCTGAATTTAAGACTTTACATTGAAAAATTATTGTTTTAATTTTTTACAGTGACATTAATATAAAATTTTATGCATTCCTTTTCTATTCAAACAAATGTAAATGAATAATGAAAATTTGAAAAAAATCTCAAATCTCACTAATAACCAAACATATGTTTGAACAACATTTTCACTGAATTAGTAAACAGTTTTTAAAAGACTGAAAGAAAAAGAAAATACACATTAGAAATGGTCAATGCAAAATTATTAAATGTCATCTTGCTGGATTTGGCTGAGTTCCAGCTACTGAGTCTTGTCATTTAATGCAACCATCTAGTTTCACCCCACTTGAAAGCTTGATGAGCAGGTCATCAGGGCTATGTGCCAGATATTAACTTATTTCCCCTCAGTTCCAAATGCACTTGCATTGCCTGCTTTGCAATAATGAAGGTGGACCTTGTAAATATTTCTCCTTTTTCAGCTGATTCAATGTTAAGCTTTGCCAGCAGAAGGCATTGGAAGAAATACTGGAGGAGGAAGGGGTTTCTCTACCTGATACCAGTACGCTATTTCGGCAGGCTTCTACAGTACATAATTCTATAGTACCCAGCTCCTGCAGTGTGTGGTGGCTGGAAACATGGTACTCCCCAAAGGCAGATTTCCGGTATCCCCTTGGGTGGGTTCACAGAGTAGTGCTGCTGATGTAGCTCTTTCCAAAGAATGATTTCCTTGGAGCCACTCCAGGTAGCTTCCCCCAGTACTCCAGGGGGCAGATTTCCATAGTCCCCAGCAAACTGCACTACTATGGCTGTACCTCTTCCAGCAAGATCCGCAGCTTAGCATTGTAGGGAGGAGTCTTCTCAGGGGTGGTAACTGCCCCTAACATCTGCTATTTCTCTATTCTTTAGAGTTATTCTTACCTTGACTAGCCAATCCTCCATTACTCCAATCCTATATCTGTGAGCCTACTAACCAATCTCATATCCATTAATTATATCCCATAGTTAATTATTTATATAAAACTTTCCCTGTTCAATTTACTTATGCTTTTGTTTCCTGATTGGACTCTGACTGAGATAGGTCATTATTAAAACTATTGATAAAAAAAAAAACTTGCTAAAAAAAGAGATAAGAAAAAAGCCACCCAAACCTTCCTGATGCATAATAACCTGTTTAATAAGGCAGGAAATGTATAATATGGAGATATTCTCATAAAATGCATAAAATATAAATGGTGGAGGCTATTTAATGGAGGAGATGACTGGAGAATTTGCTTATGTGGGACAGCTCTTCTCCATGCTTACAGCTTCCTCTGCATGGAACACCCTACCCCTCGATCTTCCTATACTGGTTCCCCAGCATTCAGGTCTCAGTTCAAATTTTGGCTTCTCAGTGAAGCCTGCTGTCATCATCAAATCTCAGTTTGAACTCACTCCGACCTTTTATCAGCCTATCTCTATATCATCATCCAGTTTAATTTCTTTATGTTAGCTATTGTATTTACTTATTTATTGATTGTCTGCTTTTAATTTTTTGAACACAAGCTCCAGAACAGAACTATGCATATGTCCCCAACATCTAGTTTAGTGCCTGGCACACAACATTTTCTAAAATGAAAGGATTTCTCCATGATCTTAGACAAATGAGACGACACGCTATTTAAAGAAGATATTTAAGGATACGATGAAGATTTTACACTTGTGAATTATTCATCAAAGGATTAGTTAGAGGTTTTATAAGTGACAAGCATTGCTAGAATTGATACAAACTTAATAAAACCAAGAGAAGTCTGTAATTCCCAAATGCCAAATGCAGTTTGTTATACTAATATACTACTTACCAATCTTGTTTTTTCCTTCTTCATATTTTATTCTTTGTAAAATGTGATGCACAATTCTACTTCTTGTGGCATTGTTGAAGAATGTTTCTTTGTTGTGTATGATGAAGCTGCACACATATATTAAAAACACAAGTTCAGAATTAATTGGAGGTGAGGGACCTAATTTTTGTTAAAATTTGGTGTTGCTCAGATGCAGATGTCTTAGATCAGTCATAGACAGGGTGTGTCTAGAACAGTATGAGGGAGCCAAAGATCACATCAGGATAGTAGGCTCACAGGAATGAGTAGTTTTGGTTTTCAGCATTAGCATCGTTCATGTCAGGAAGGAGCTGGATCTAAACAAAATTGAGAAACCTAAAAATAAACTAATAGCAAGTCTAGGGTTGTATCTTGTTTTCTCTCAGTAAGGTCATTATGTAAATTCAACTAAAAATTCATTTTGATTTTCTCTTCTCTTCTACCTCAGCCTCTCCCATGGCATAATCAATGGATTTTCAGGAATTTTAACATATAAAACTGGCTTGGGTGGTGGGTATAGGAGTTAGGTAATGAGCTCTGGTCTGGCTCACAGGTGAGGTGAGAGGCTAGTTTCTGGAAATCACCTCTGTCCCTACCTTTTCCATGTTCTTTTGTGAGTGGGATCTTTCTTCTAAAGCACATACTTAAGATTGATTTGTCTCCCAGCAAATGGCCTAACCAGTTCTGCTTTGTTAAGGGTGCAAGTACACGCACATACACGCACGCATGCACGCACGCACACACACACAAACATACACACATGGCTTTCCAGTAGGTGTTTATACCCTACTAACAGGTTTTCTAGGTTGCAGATAGAGCTTCCAGGGCTACATAATCTAGCATAAAATGGCCATGTCTCCCCTTTTCACGGATGCAAAAAAATGGTAGAATATTAGAGACAGCATATATGTAACTCCTTCATAAATTATAAAGTTTATCAACTCAGCAAACTTTCCATGAGCACCTCCTATAAGCTGGACACCATGCAAAGGCATATAAATGTAGGCATTATCCCCAACACTCAGCACAGAAGTTGCCTCCTCCAGCAAGTCTCCCCACTCCTCCAACTGCACTTCTGTCCCCCAAAGCATTCAGTTACTCCTTCCTTTGTGCTATTTCTTATTTTGCAAGCACATTAATTTACTGATTATTCCATATTGTCATTTATTTCTTTTCATTTGTTCATCAAATGTTTACTGAGGATACTCTCTCAAGGTACTAATCACACAGTGGTAAACAAAACAGATAAAATCCTTGTCCTTGAGAAGCTTACAGTCTAGCAGGGAGGTGAGAGCATCAAGTAAATGAACTTGAGTGTACGGCAGAGAAGGGCAAGGTCAACCTCCTTCTGTATGCCTTTCTGTCCACATAAGACTGTGTGAACTCATTCAGGACAAATGGCTGAATCATAACTCTGTAGCCCGAGGATCCAGTGAATGGCTGGTACACAGGTATGTGAGGGTCATGGTAATTTATGATGGGGAAATTGCTATTAAATGTTTTTCTTCAAGGAGATGAATTTTCAGGAGTTGTTCAAATAATGAGAGGAAGAGAAAAAGTTGGCCTTGAGAAAGAGTGGTACAAGCATTAGGTTTGGTTTGAAACAGAGCTGGAAATGTGACTTTGGGATAACAGATAAAGGAGAGAAAGGCCAGGGAATATGGAGACAAAAGTAAATCATGAGAACTGATTTACTGAAGTATTTTTCTCTCACTTTTACTTCACTTGGATTCTCTTATAGAATATTGCTCTTGGAGAAAGGTAATTTGACTTGTCGGATGAGAGATAAATGCTGTGTGGCTAAATGAGGATGCTGCAGCATTTATCTGGCATTTGCCTCTCAGGTTTTCTGAAAACATTTTATAGCATCAAAGAGAAAGAGGAGAAAACCAAGAGTCTCACTGAATGTGTTTCTTTGTATTTCATCCTCCTCTGCTTTTTCACCTGATCTGAGACAGGCCATTACATTTTAATACCAAGTAAAGGTGTCATAAAGAAATAGACAACAAATAAAAAGCCCATTTAGACTCACAATTCTAGATGATAACTGAAAGCTGATAAGCACAACTACGCTTGATAAGAAAATTCAAGGCCAAAAGCCCATGTCCCTCCTCCATTCAATGGTTTTCTGCTTCCTTCTCTTTTTATAGTGCCACATTACATTTCCTGAGTGTATGCAACTGTTCTCTATATTAGGCACCACATACAAGCTTTAAATTTTTGTTTTTCCTTTCCTTACATATAGGCTGTACTGGGAGCCTGGAGGTTCTAAAGAGGAACAAACACACAGGGCATGTGCCAGGCACTATTCTGAACAGTCTCAAGACATGAACTCATTCAATCCCTATTACAACCAATGAGGGAAGTACTTATTAGTCACATTTTACAGGTGAAGAATCAGAGAAGTTAAATGATGCACCCAACATCACTGAGCTAAAAAGGGGCTGAGCCAGGATTTGAACTCAGGCAGACTGGCTTCAGAGGCTGCCCCTGTGGCCTCTCTGCCAGGTACTTCCCGACGCCTGGAGCCTGGCTCTCCTGGAGGTCAGCTGAGAGTTCCTCTGTCCAGAATGCTCTTGTTTCATGTTTCCATTCATTCGTTTCCAAATCTCAGCTCAGGCTGTATCTTCCCCAGAGGCTCTTGCTTGACTCCCATTCCCTTACTCTGAAACGCAGTATGGTAGTATGGTGCTTGATATAGTTTGGCTGTGTCCCCACACAAATCTCATCTTGAATCATAGTTCCCATAATCCCCATGTATCATGGGAGGGACCTGGTGGGAGACAATTGAATCATTGGGGCAGATTTTTCCCGTGTTGTTCTTGTGATAGTAAGTCTTAGGAGATCTGATGGTGTTATAAAGGATAGTTCCCCAGCACATGATCTCTCTTGCCTGCCACCATGTAAGTGACTTTGTTCCTCCTTCATCTTCCACCATGATTGTGAGGCCTCCTCAGCCATGTGAAACTGTGAGTCCACTAAACTTCCTTTCCCTTATCGATTATCCAGTCTTGGGTATGTCTTTATTAGCAGTGTGAGAACAACTAAAGCGGTGTTATAAAGAGAGAAGGGAGCAAAGAACCAATGATGGAGGAGGAGGAGGAGGAGGATGAGGACGAGGAGGAGGAGGAAGAGGAGGGACTTTTAGCTCTGGGTACGCTCAACATCATCTCCAATTTATCTCAATACTTTGAAGTCAGACACACCTCATTTTATACCCCAGCAGTGCTACCTATGATGTGCTTTTAGGGCTATCCCTCAACTTTTTTGGGTCTTTGTTTCCTTGTCTGTGAAATGGGGATGACACTCTAATCACATTCATAGGGCTTCTGTAGAATTAAATGAGATGACAAGCAGTGCCTAGCCCACTGGCTGGCATTGAATACATTCTCAGAGTTAGCTGTCATCACTGCTGTAACTTCTATTACATTCTATGAAAACTCTGTGCCCACATGGCCCACTTCCCTGGATGGGCTTCTTGAGGACAGAGACTGGCCATGCTCATCTCTGTATTTCCAGCACAGATAAAGGGCTTAGTACAAGATAAACACTTAAAGTTGGATCAAGTTAGTTTGGATGTTTATCCCTTACACATCTAATTTTGAAATGGAATCCCCAATGTTAGAAGTGGGGCCTGGTGGGAGGTGTCTGGTTCATGGGGGTGGATCACTCATGAATGTCTTGGTGCCACCCCCATGGAACTGAGTGAGTTCTCACTCTGGTAGTTTATGCTAGAGCTGGTTGTTTAAAAGAATGTGGCTCCCCAGTGCCCTTTTGCCCCACCTTGCCCCTGCTCCCACTCTTCCCATCTGATGCACTTGCTCCCTCTTCACCTCCCGTCATGATTGGAAGCTTCCTAAGTCCTCGCCAGGAGCAGACTCTGGTCCCATGCTTCTTGTACAGGCTTATATAACTGTGGCCAAAATAGACCTCTTTTCATTATAAATTACCCAGTCTTAGGTATTCCTTTATAGCAATGCAAATGACCTAACACAGGGGCTATCGGACTAAATCTCATCTTCTTATACCTTGGCCTCTGCTCTTGCTCTTGCCATCTCTTCTAGCTATCAGCTGAACTACTGCCTCCACACTGCCTGTCTAAGGGTCTTCTTGTGGGGTGTGGAGCACTTTCATTTTCTGGGTCACTCTTTCAAACTGGAGGATTATGAGAAGGAACAGTGATAATTCCCCCATATCATGGTTCTCACACTTAGCTACAGCCTTCTCCAAATGAAGTCTCTCTCTCTCTCATACACACACATATACCCCACCTCCTCATACACACAGTGAAGCTAAGCAACACTGGCAAACATGAGACTTTAGGCTCAGTCTCTGAGCAGGGTTTTACATTGGCTTGGAAACTCATATCCACTCCTATGCATTGCTGGGGGGAGAGCAAATATACAAACTCTATAAGGACCATTTGGTCAGATCTGTCAAAACTACGCATCTCTCTTCACTGCATACCATCTAAGCTAGGGATTCCTTTTTTCAGAAACGTATTCCACAAATACACTTACGCATGTGCAAAGTGACAGATGTAGAAGAATGTTCATTATGGCATGGGTTATAATAGCAAAAGCCTGGAAAAACCTAAACAATCAGTGGGGGATAGGATCAGCAAATTATGGTGTAACTCTACAGTGCAGTATTCTGCACCTGTAAAGAGATTAAGGGCCCTTGGTGTAGATCTAAAAGAAATCTTCAAGACAGGACAGGTAGAAAAGGCTCAAAACAGTCACACAGATATTTGTGTCAGAGGAATATGTGTACATATTAGGAAGCACATGCATATGAATATGTTGATATACATATTTGCTTGTGCATGCACAGAATGACTATGGGAGGCTACATACACCTCAGGAAACACTGGTTGCCTCTGGGGAGAACTGGGTGGCTGTACAGGAAGGAGGAAAACTTTACATGCTTAGGAAATTTTTGCCATGTGTAAGTTCTATTACACATTTAAAAAAATGCAACTTTTGGCTGGGTGCAGTAGCTTACGCCTATAATCCCAGCATTTTAGGGGGCCAATGCACGAGGTCTGATTGAGGCCAGAAGTTCAAGATCAGGGCAATATAGCAAGACC